GAAGCCGGGCGGCCCGGCAGCCTCCGCCACACCCGCTCCGGTTGCACGCGGAGGGAAAAACGGCGCCCTGCGCCGCGCCGCAGGTGGCCCCCCGACTGGCTGGCGATGTGCACCGCAGATCGGCGCTGCAGGGGTGTCACGCGTGCCGTAGTGCCGCCCACGCCCGTGGGTTTTGGCTTCCCCCGACGCAGCGGAGTTTATTCACCACTGGAGGGCGGGCCCGCAACGTCCGGCCACACACACACCACACACGCAGCTGCGGACACGCCAATGGACTTCCTGTTTTTGTGCTCCGCTCCATCGGGCGGCGGCGCAACGTCGCACAAGCATGGGAAGTGGGAAAGAGGCGTGGCGCCCGTTGGGGAACGGAGGAGGAGATGGGCCGCGGGGGATGTGCGCTACCGCGCTGGGGATGCGTGTTGCCCCGTCTTCTGAGGGCGGCCACCTCACACCGCGGAGCTCAGTCTCGGGCGGTTGTACTGTTTCCTTGCGAGCTAACTGGGTGTGCAAAGACGGTTATTTGTGTTGAGGCGCCGCATTTCTTTTTAAAAACAGAAAAGGTGGTTTTGGCTGTTTGCCCATTTGGCGCAGCGTGTTTTTTTTTTTTGCGGCGTGGCACCCGATGTGTGGGGTGTGGGCCGGCGAGGGAATGCGGCAGGCATCCTCAGCATTTTGTCTGGGGGGGTTTCGTTGTTGTTGTTTAGCCGACATGTGCGCGTGTGTGTCGTGCCGAGTTGCAGGCAGCGTGGTGGATTTGGCGTCTGCGCTTTCGGTGTTGTGCATGCGTTTTCGTCCTCCTCCTCTTCGCTTTGCTTTCCCTGACTAGTGTAGGGTGGTGGCGCGGCGACGCCATGCGGCACGGTGAGGCTTCGCCGGGCTTTGCCCTCACACGCCCAGAGCAGCCGCGGCAGGCCCACACGTCGCCTTTTTTGTTTGCAGAGGAGCTCCTGTGCGGGCCCCTCGGGCAATGGGAAGAGCCACGTTGTGCGCGGGGCGATTCAGCGGGCCCGCGGTGCCGCACGCCGACGGGAGCACGGCGCTCCGGAGGGATATTCGTCGCGCCGCGGCTGCCTGCCCCGACAATTGCCAGCCCGCCGCCGACGAGGACGCGGCGGACGGCGCGGCGGTGGTGGTGGTGCTGGACCACGCGGAGATGTTCCTCACCGCCGCGGGGAGCGGCGCGGGGTGGGCGCACGGCCGGTCGCGCCCCAGTCCGCCGAGCCACCCGCTGCCGCTGGCTGAGTTGTACGACGTCCTCCGCGGGCGCGAGTTGTTTGGCCCCGACGAACTTCGGCAGCTACGCCTGCGGACGGTGCTTTTCGTGACGCTGTTCGGCGGCGCATGGGGCGACGTTGACCCCTTTGCCCGCGCCAAGTCCTTCGACGCGCACGTCGCGCTGACGACGCCGCTGGAGGCGGAGCGACACGCCTTCTTCTGCGCCCACGCCGCACACCCGCCCGCGCTGTGCCAGGCGGTGGCCGCCCGCAGCGGGGGGATTCCGTACAGGGGGATGACGGAGGTTGCAGAGCACATGGAGGCGGGGGACGGCGCGTCGGCAGCGCTGCTCTCGCTCCGC